ATTTGATTTTTAAAAAACAAGTGACATCCAGACAATGCAATGTCATTCAGCACTAAAAATAGATAAGCTACCAAGCCATGAAAAGACATGGAAGAATCTTCAATGCATATTACTTAGCAAAGGAGAAGCCAACCTGAAAAGGCTATATATACTGTATGATTCCAACTCTATGACATTCTGGAAAAGGCAACCCTACAGACACAGTAAACAGACCTCTGGTTGCTGGGAGTTGGGGAAGTGAGGAGGGATGAGTAGGCGGAGCACAGAGGCATTTTAGGGCAGTGAAAATACTAGTATGATACTATAATGATGGATAAATGACTGTACATTTATTTTCTGACATAAATAAATGTATGTCCAAACCCATAGAATGTACAACACTAAGACTGAAGCATAATGTTAACTGTGGATTTTAGGTGATTATGATGTCAATGTAGGTTTATCAATTTCACACATGTTGTTGCTAATGGGAGAGGAGGCCCTGCTGCATGTGTGGGAGCAGGGAGTATATGGGAATTATCTGTCTTCCCCTCAATTTTTTCTACAAACCTTAAGCTGCTCTAAAAAAAAGTCTTAATTTTAAAAAGGTACAAAATCAGCTTCAATAGGATCCATTACTTGCAACTAAAATTTTGACTATGGATACATTGTGCATTTATTTATTTATATTTATTTTTGCACTGTGCTTTTAGACCAGTTAGGATAGGCCTTATTGTGTGTATATATATATACCGGAACACTCTTCTGTTGTAAGGGTCACAGCTACAACTCAAACTGGACATGACAGATTTATTTCCCTACATAACTAAAGAGCCCATCATTGGTAGTCTTACTTATCAAAGTGCCTGGTGGGCACATGGATGCTCAATATAATAATTTTCATACCTTCTTGAATACCTGAAATACTTCAAAATAAATTAAAACAAAATAAAACAAATATAAAGTGGCTGGATCCAATAGCCAAAACAATAGCATCAGCACTGGCCTCTGCTCCTTGGTTGGCTCCCTTTCCTCTGCAGGCCCTTTCCAGGTGGTGCCCTCTGCAGCTTCAGGCTTGCTATATATATATACAGCTGGCAGTATAATGGCAAGAGTATCTATCTTCTCAATGGTTCCAGAAGTCCAGAACTGACCACTGGCCTGAGTCAGATTCAAGTCAATTCTTGGAAGAACTGTTTGGTTGAGATGTGCGGTGCTCTGATGGGTTAAGCCAGGCTCGCATGCCTCTGCTGGAGCTAACAGATGAGGCTGACTGCTTGTCTTCCTCAGATGGTACATGATTTACCAAAAGATATTGTGGTTTTGACTAGGAGAAGGAGAATGGATGCTGGGCAGGGGAAATACAAATGACCATTTCTTTTCTTGAAGATTATTTAAAGGACAAGACAAACAGTTCCCTCAGGACAGAGACAGATATTTCTTGAGTTGCCTCCCAAATTCTTCTGAGATCCTAAGGTAGCTCCAAAGCTGAATTATAGTCAATAAATCATTGAGAAGTATGAACATTGTTCTGTTGGTTAGAAGGGGTACTAGAATTATATTTCTGTCAATAGAAATAGTATTAATACTATCCCTTGAGACAACAATTCTGTCCTTGACCAAATGCTAGCCAGGCTTCTCTAAGCCCTTTCTTGAGTAGGCCTAAAACTTGGCCTGTAAAGACAAATACTAATATAACTTCTAATAAATAGCTCAAGAGTGCACCCCCAGGATGACCCTCACCACCACCCTCCTCAAAGCACCTGTCCGAGAACACTCAGTGCTGCCAAGAGAACTCACTGTTTGTCCCAGCTATCACCTGAAGATGCAGCCTGTCTCCTAGCTTCTGTGGGGAGCTGGGAGCCTAACTTTGATAAGAGCCAGTTTGCAAACCCCTCCCCACTCTTCATTCAGTTTTCACTTTTCTGCTCTACTGAGTCATTCACTCCTCTCCCTGCTAGTCTCGCATTCCCTTTAAGACACTGAGTCACTTCTCTATAAACTGAAATTGAGTTCTGTACAAGATGATCTCCTTTTCCTACTGCAAAAGTATATTATTGGTTTTAATCTGTCCTTATTACTATACCTAGTGTCCAGCTTTGTTTATCTTCGACCCCTGTATCACAAGTAGGAAAAGAAATACTAGAGCTTAAGGGCCTGTATGCTCCAGGAGCTAATGTTCTAGAATCAAAACCTAGAAAAGATTGCCTTCTACTGGTTAGAAATCTTGGTTTGGCAATGTGCCTTTTTTCTTTCTCACACCCAATTATTGTATACACATCAAGTTATCACTATCTTTGTTATAAACATGATTTATGTGCAACTGATCTTTATAAACCATCATACTCAGGGCTGGAAAGTCTTGAGCTGGTGGTACGGCTGACCATTCTGGCTGGTCTGCTCCGCTGCGGGTAGACTGCCTAAAAGTACTTGTCTACTGTTTAAGAGGACATCTATACAAGCCACCTTAGAAAGACAAAACAAACTCAGAAGCCATTGAGCTATTCCACATCAATGCAGTAACTTATCCTTTACATTATAGTATTACAGTACCAAGAGTTTGATGATGACACTGTTTTTAAAACTTTTTTAGTTTTGTTGAGGTGTAATTGACAAAGTGAAATATATTTAAAGGGTACAATGTAATGATTTGATATGTGTATACACTGTGAAACGATTTCCACAATTGAGTTAATTAACACATCCATCACCTCACATATTTACTTTTTTTTTTTTTGGTGAGAACACTTCAGTTTACTCTTAGCAATTTTCAGTGACACAATACAGTATTGTCAACTATAGTCACCATACTATGCATTAGATACATAGGCTTTATTCACCTTAAAACTGAAAGTTGGTACCCTTTTACCAACCTCACCTGTTTCTCCTACCCCCAAACCCCACAGCCCCTGACAACCACTATTTTACTGTTTTTGTGAGTTTGACTTTTTGTTAAATTCCACATACAAGTGCTACCATGAAGCATTTCCTTCCTTTCTCTGGCTTGTTTATATTAGCATAATGTTCTCTAGGTTCATCCTGTCACAAATGACAGGATTTCCTTCTTATTCAAGGCTGAATAATACTTTTTCATACATACACTACATTTTCTTCATTCATCCACTGATGGACACTTAGATTGCTTCTATACCTTGGCTATCAGGAATAATGCTACAGTAAGTAGTGTTAAGAGTGCTCCTGGTGCTAATAATGGTTTTACAATAGGGATCACCTATCACTTCCTATTAAGAAGGGGTGATGCAAAATGCATCATTTAAGTGGCTCATGCAGACATTTGGTGCTCTGGTGCTCTGATGCTAGGAGAACCAGCTCAAGGCCTTCTGAGGGGGGTGCACTGGTGGGACAAAGTGGGGAGCACAGGCTAATAAGCTGAAACATGGCTTACTTTACAGACCGGATTTTACTATCGGGTTTTGCTAACCTAACAACACTATTTTCTTTGCTCTAATGACAATTAACATTTATTAAGCACTTTTGTATAAGACATCATGTTTTGAAATGCCTTATTTAATCTTACATCAATTCTGAGTGGGAAATACTGTTATTCCCATTTTATAGATGAGGAAACTGGAGCTTACTTAACTGTATTCTAACATGTATTTTAGCAGATCATCATTCTCTCTCTAACATATATTTTAGAAGATAAATCCTTTTATCTAAGTTAACAAGACATGGTAAATAGTTTTTTTTATACTAAATTCCAGTGCCATTCAGAATACAGGACTAATAAAGCTCTGGAAGGCACTTAGAAAAAGGGTTTGCTCCAGTCCACTATCAAGTTTAGGTATGCGTGGTATCAATTACACAAACATTTCAAAGACCGTCTGTCTCAAATACTTCCAACATAGTGTAGAAAGCCTTCACCAGTACTAGAGAGTAGAAAGGAAGAGTCCATCTATCCCTCTTTTATTTCTTTAAACAGTTCAGGGCAAGCACACGCATGTTTCTAATAAGTGTTAAGTAGACTTTGCCCCACGGTGATCAGAGCTGGGATAAGGGGTGGGCCGTGGGTGGAAATGAAGAATTACGTAATCCTATCCTTTATTCATAAATTTAGGGGTGACCTTTGCTCCCCAGATTTATGCAAACCTATTGGTCAGTCTGTAGAGGGCTTGGTGGTTTACAAAATACTGCTTTAATTTCCAGAGCTAATTTTACACCATGTTCTTTATTTTATTGATTGGTAATGAACTTTGTATCTGTATTTGTTCATGGTCATCTAAGATGAAAGGCCTGTGAAGAATAGATTACCATGATATTTTTCATTATTTCAAATATTTGCTTATCATACACTTTGTATATATTTTTACCAACTTTGCTTCACTATTTGACAGACTACTGGGCATTCCGTATGAAATTCAGGCCAGTCCTCCAAAACATCCAGGTATTTAATAAAATGTTAACGCTGTACCTGTGTTAAGGAATCTTCCATCAACTGGGACAATGTGATTTTTTTGCTTTGTGGTGCCATCATGTGGACAGAACCAGAACTGTAGCCCATAGAACAAAACAGGAAATAAATGTACTTTCCAAAGGAAAGAAATCTTGGCTACAAAATATTTTCCTGCAGCTCTATAAATTCAATACAAATTTAAAGTCCCAATTTGATTTTTAGTGAAAAGCTGACTGTAAACTTGATGTGATATTTGTAAGTGAACAAAAACAGCAAAGCTGTTTTAGAATCAAAGGGGGAAGGCCTTTCTCTACCAACTATCATGACTTACAGTGAAGCTGTAGCAATCAAAACGTGTGGTCCTCTCACAGGGATAGACTAATCAGTGGAATAGAATAAAGAGCCTAGAAACAGATCCACATACTTGTGGAACTTTGGTATGTGACAGAGGAGGCATGATAGATCAGTGAGGAAAGGAGGGACTATTCAGTAAATGGAACTAGAAACGAGTGGTTTTTCCACATTAAAAAAAAATGCAATGTGTATCTCATGCTGTATTAGTTTTCTAGGGCTGCCATAGCCAAATACCACAAACTTATTTTCTCACAATTCTGGAGGCTGGAAGTGCAGATGAAAGTGTGGGCTGGCTTGTTTTCTCCTGAGACCTCTCTCTCTCTGGCTCTCAGATGGCTGCCTTCTCGCCATGTCCTCACATGATCTTTCTTCTGTGCTTGAGAATCCCTGGTGTGTCTCTGTATGTCCACATTTCCTGTTATTAAGACAGCAGTTAGAAGGAGCTAAGACCCACCCATATAACCTCATTAAACTTGAGTCGCCTCTTTAAAGGCCTCTCTCCAAATACAGCCACATTCTGAGTTACTGGGGTTTAGGGCTGCTTCCATATATGAAATTTGAAGGGACTCACTTTAGCCCATAACAGAACGTACAAAAAAAATCTTTCCAGATGTAATAAGGACTTAAACATCTATCCAGATGGAATAAGAACAAATCAAAATATTAGTAGAAAATATAAGCAACCAACTTTCTGACCATAGTGTATGGAAGGACTTTTATTGAGATGTACTTGACAAATAACATTAGTTTTATATGTACATCATAATGATTTATGTATATATTGTGAAATGGTTTAACACAGTAAGTTTATATCATTTCAAATTGTGACATATTTTTTCTTCTGATTAGAAGTCTTAAGACCTATTCTCTGAGGAACTTATATGATACAATTTTGTTTATAGTATTGATTATAGTTACCACACCAAATATTACACCTTCTAGACTCATTTACCTTATAAGAGGAAGTTTGTACCTTTTGACCCCCTTCTTCTATTTTACTCTGCCGTCCCTGTCCTATGACAACCAGCAATGTATTGTCTGTATGAATTTGATTTTTTTATTTGTTTCCACTTACAAGAGAGATACAAAGTATCTGTCTTTCTCTGACATTTCATTCAGAATAATTCCCTCAAAGTCCATCAATGTTGTTGCAAATGTAAGGATTTACTTCTTTTTTATGAATTTTTTCTACTTAGACTTTTTTTAATGTTTATTACTTTATTTTTCCTTGTATAACCATTAAATACATTAACTTATTGTTAGGGTCATGGGCAATTAATATAACTTGTAGAAGGTGCAGATTTTGTGTTTCACCACTAACTAAATGTTCAAAAGAAACAAGCACTTCCAGGATTTTGAAAGGAAAATGGAAAACAAATCCTCAAAGCATGCAGGTCTGTATAGCCCAGTCCTGTACACCATGTCAAAGAGTGTCACTAGGTGTGGTATGGTCAGAGAGTTACTTCAGGGGTCTACAGTCCAATGTGGAGAAAGAAATGGAATAATGACTATGTGTATAAATGCTGCAGTGGAAGGAAAATGGGAGTGTCATGTTAGCCTAGAGGAATGAGGTATTAGGCATTTTTGCAGGAATTTCTTAGCAGCCATCCAGGTTGAAGGTATAATCCTCATTGACTGATGCTCTGAATGACTCCAGGGCCTGAAGAACTAGAATTATGAATGGGAGCTCTTTTCTCCTTTCATGCCAACCTCTTCCCAGATATTCCTGTAGCCCAGAGCTATCACAAAGCGTTCCCTTATTCATAAGCCAGTTCTATTCTTCCTTATAATCCCAGGAGAACATTTAATCTTTATAGGCCACCTAAGGGAGCTTCATTCTTCATAATTCTGTAATACAGTCTAAATATTTTAAATATTTATTCTAAAATATCTGATTTTTTATGGCTGGTAATATTCCATTTCATACTAAATGTACTTATCTACTGATGGACCCTTACATGGTTTCCATACCTTGGCTATCATTAATAATACTGCAATGGACATGGGAATACAGATATCTCTTCAAGAGTATGATTTTGTTTCCTTTAGATACATACCCAGGAATGGGTTCTATTTTTAATTTACTGAGAAACATTCATATGATTTTCCATAGTGATTATACCAGTTTCTATTTCTACCAAGAATGCACAAGGATTCCCTTTTCTCCACATCCTTGCCAACACTTGTTGTTTGTTATCTTTTTTATAATAGCCATTGTAACAGGTATGAGGTGATCCATCAATGTGGTTTTCATTTGCATTTTCCTAATGAGCAACTTTTCATGACCTTTTGGCAATCTGGGTATCTTCTTTGGACAGTATCTATTCAAGCCCTCTGCACATTTTTAAATTGGACTGTTTGTTTTTTCTATTGACTTGTTTGAGTTCTTTGTATATTTTATATATTTTGGATATTAACCCCTTATCAGATAGGTGGTTGACAAATATTTTCTCCCATTCTGTAGGTTGACTTTATTTTTGTTGATGGTATTCTTTGCTGTGCACAAGATATTTAGTTTGATATAGTCCCACTTTTTTATTTTTGCTTTTGTTGTCTTTATTTTTGTTCTCAAATCCAAAAAAACCATCACCAAGACCGACACCAAGGAGAAAACCCCTGTGATTTCTTCTAGGAGTTCTATGGTTTCAGGTCTTATATTCAAGTCTTTGAATATATTTTGAGTTGACTTTTGTGTATGTTGTAAATATGGCAGTTCAGTTTCAATCTTTTGCATGTGGTTATGTGTATGCATGTATGTATGTGTGTGTGTGTGTATATATATCTATGAGAATATACTATACTATGGAGAAAGGGTAGTCTCTTTAACAAAGGGAAAGATTTCTTCACATGAAAAAAGCATTAACTCTGTAACAAAAGACTGATGAATTTAGCTAAATTAAAATAAAAAATATTTGATTTATTTAAAGATACCTTTAAGTAACAAAACACCAAGAAGGGACTAGTGGTTACCAAAGGAAAGGGGTAGGGGATGCTGGGTGGAGAAGGAGAAGGGGATTGATGGGCACTATAATTTGCATATAGGTAGGTCATGCGGAAGGCAGTACAGCATGGAGAAGACAAGTAAGGACTCTATAGCACCTTACTACGCTGATGGACAGTGACTGCTGTAGAATGGGTGAGGACTTGATAATATGGGTGAATGTTGAAACCACTGTGTTGTTTATGCGAAACCATCATAAGATTGTATATCAATGATACTTCAATGAAAAATAAAAGAAATTGTGGTAAAGTATGCATACCATAAAATTTCCCATCTAAAAAAAAAATGACACCCTTAAGTAAAAATACAGGCTATAAATTGGTAGAGATATTTGCATGCATATAACCAACAAAGAATTAGTGCAAGAATATATAAAGGGCTCCTAAAAATTAGAAGAAAACAACCCAACAGAAAAATGAGTGACAGACACAAGTAAGCATTTCATAGGAAAGGAACTACTTATAGCTTCAATAAACATGATGAGATTCTCAAAGTCACTAATCATCAGGAAAATACAAATGAAGACCTTTTAAATTCATTCACCTGGTAAAAATTAGGAAGCGTAACATATGAAGGGTTGGAGAAGATGTAAATCAACACTTTGTTTAAACAATTATGCTGGAGAGTGAATAGCTCATTCCAATACCCTATAATCCAGTAAGGGAAATACTTCACACATGTACCAGAGATGTATACAAGCATAGTAATGGCAGCATTTTTAGTATAAATCACAAAAAAGTGAGTACAAACCAAATGTCCATAAGATAGGAGAATGGATAAATAGTGGTACATACACATAATGGGATATTATGAAAAAATGAATTACAGATATCCACATCAGTATGAATAATTCTTTATGTTAAGGTTTTAAAAAGGCAAAGAAAGATTATCCTCTTTAAAATTAAAAAACTAAATGTAATATTTTGCTTGTACATGCATTTATGTTGATTCAAAATACTGTTTTAAAAAACAAGAAAACGCTAGAAAACAAAATTTAGGATAAGGGATTTACCTTGTAAGAGTGAGGCAAGGGATATAGAAAAGGGAAAGAACATATGGGTCTGTATAAATTACTGTCTATAATCTAGTTCTTGGTTTAGATTATGAGAACACTCAAAAGGAGCCTGTGTGCATGAAGAGACCATTGATAACTATGTCATAAGCTAAGAAAGGTTAGTCCAATTATGAATACCTTAAATCCAGGTAGAAATTAAACATTTCTGATGACCTTAATGATGTGAGGGAAGTGAAACGATCAGAGCATTTTGATTTATAAGTGCATTGCCAAGAGGCTACAGGGGCTAGGCTGGGCATGTTAAGTCTGAGCTGAAATAGCCTGGGCATCTAAGACTTCAGTCTGGAAAGTCAAACAAGACTAAACCTCATTTTATATTCATCACAATATATTTAATTGGATAAGTTCAATATCTAACTCATTGAAAAGTTACTTTTCAATGAATATTGAAGGTTAATTTTAGGATTACTTTTCAATGAATATTGAAGGTTAATTTTAGGATTTAAATTTAAATATGTTAAATATATTTCATGGTATGTTCATTATAAAACACCATTGGCATTTTATAAATAAGTAAAACTCTGGCAAATCTTGCTGCTAATCTTTGATGACTGTTTACATTATGTATTTATCAAAATATTTGACCAGTACTTTTATTAACTCATCTGTCTGTCTGTCTGTCTACCTACCTACCTACCTACACATCTGTTTTCTGGACCTGGTAATAACAATGTTTGAGAGCAACTTCCTCCCACCCCTTCCCCCTCCACTATTCACTGCTACACAAACTACTATTTCATTGCAGTGGACTTAGATCTCCCTCTAGTGGTAAAGAATTACAATGCCAATCTATGTAAAGTTTTTAGAGTTGTTTAAAACGCAACTTTTTAAAAGTCATTTCCACCATGTCACTGTGTTGTAAGCGTAAGAAGTAATCTCACTTTTCAAACTACCTTAAAGGGCACAACTATTATCTAAAGGTAATTTACTTAAAATTTTATAAATAAAAAATTATTAAGTGACTATAAAAACAAGTTTCTGGAAGTGAAAACTTTAAAGTATTAATATGAAAAACCTGTCTCATTGACATCTTTAAAAAAATGTTAAGTATATCTTTCTTCCTCTTCTGAATTCTTATAGTTTGCTTATGCTCCACACATTTAATTTAAGACCATTTCTTCAAATGTATGCTTGAACAACAGTGGAGTAGAAATTTTTCCCTTATACTATACAAACTACTTGAACCCAGACTCTTCAGATAGCCATCAAAAATTTCATAATGAAATTCCATTTAATTGGAATTTTATGCATTGATTAACATCAACCTATAACCCCTTAAAACTTTTTTTGAAAATAAAGAACACTCTTTTGTCATTCTACTTTAATACTGGTATTTTAT